AAAAAATCATGATAAAGGCAGAACAAGGAAGGCAACTTACACCAACTTATTATTATCAGGAATTTCTGCAGGCATTAAAGTAAATAGAGACAAGAACCAACAAGCGAGACAAATAAAAACTGGAATTCCGGATCTCCAAGGAATTAACTTGTAAAGATATATACAAGCTATAAGTCCAACTACAAGGAAGCACCATGTGTAGAGTATTCTCTCAGTGAAGCTATGCACCTGCACAATGTACCATAAAACATGGTTTAGAACACAACTTTCACTTGATAATCACAAAAACAAAAGGATGTTGTACTACCATACCAGGAGCTCAAGAATGATTAGTGAGACCGCGTCAATGGCCAGAAGTTTAACGACAAAGTCCGGTTTTTTCCCACTTAAGTGTCTCCAAAGTGCTTTTATAAACTTATATTCATTAAGTATTTGCGTCCAGAGAAATACCGTCATGGCGAAGTATGCATGGTAAAGTGGAGGGGAGCGCTCCAGAAATAGTAGAAGACTGACGACTGCCATAAACAGACACCCACATAGCTCAGCCTGCCATATAGGATGGCATATGTGAGAATGTAACAACTAACTGGAAGAAATGAACAGTTTTCGTGTTCCTAGGAAATGCATGTTTGATGAAAAAAAAGGAGCAAGGAGAGCAATCAATCATGATATAAATATATTAAACGAAGCACAACCGAAAAAGGCACAAAGAAAATAGGTGCACAATTTGGTTCTTGTTAGATTTAAGCTACACGGAAATTCTTAAGAAACTAAATTACCATAAGGCCTTTTGGCTTCAAACTTCATAAAACTCGTGAAAAAAACATTTTCATTTGATTTTAATTAAATTTTCCTTTGGAATTGTAAAGTTTAAAAGTGGTTAAGCTTACATAGATAAATCTCTGGTGAATCGCTTCCTCCATAAATATATCTCTGGAAAATGAAGTATAAGCTTGAAGAACATGAAGAACAAGAAAGACCATCCAACCAATATATCCAAGAGTGATTACGGTCATCAGAATCAGCAAATCATAAGTTTGAAAATAATGAAGTCCCTGCAGTGCCAAGCTTCTTAGATTTTCTGATAGCTGCATGGCAGCTTTATAGTCTCTAGCATTTAGCAAATCCTCAATTTGATTCAACATGGAGGAATAATGCGCAAGTGGCTTGAAAGGCGTGAAATATAGTGAATGTGAACGTTTGATATCTAAGTTTGTCAAAGAAAAGAATTATAAAAAGAAAAACCATAATCCAATAACTACTTCCACATGTTAACACCAGAATCAAACGGAATATCCAATAATTGAATAAAAACATGTAGATATAAAATCTTAATTGGCCAAAATCAGGTAAATGCTTAGAAAAGTTTAAAAAGAGTATTTCTGAGTAAATACACAAAGTTTGAGCCCACAAAACTAAGCTTAAATTCCAAGAGGAACAAACCTTAAAGAAAGAAAATTATCTTACTTTGCAATAAGTTCTTTTCAAGGAATTATTGGGAAAATAAGAATCATATTGCACTGAACTAAAATTAGTATAAGAAAAGGATACGTGATTTGCGCAGAAACTGGTTTAGAATCTGTTTTGTGTTAGCTAGCACAGCTTCTACTTCTTCTTCCTGAACATTAAATGATGGAAAATTTCATTAGTTCTCCACACATTTATTATAACGAATACTTGTTTAGTCTCACTGAAAAAACCATCAGTCCACATTTTAGGGGTAAAAAAAACCATCCTAAGTCCATAACAAATGGAAAAAAAGTATTCTAATGAAAAGTATTTGGACTCGCCTTTTTCATGTCAATATAATCTAGTGGTAAATTCCCGACTGAATTGACTGGACAAGGCAAACCAAGAAGAGTTGACTGCCACAAAAATTCAAGTGTGTGTCAGCTCAATGTGGGTTAAACATGTTTCAAAGAAAAAACTTCAAAACATTGATATTTTACAAGATTAAACAACCATGAGGGGTGCAATGTCAGCTTGATTGACGTCAACTCTTTCAATGCCATCGAGGCCCCATTCTTTAGGTGTTGGTGCGTCATGCACATGTTGATCAATAAAACGAAGAACATGATCAGAGTGGCCTTTTTCAGAGACTGGCCTGGGATGTTTTACGCCTGCTCCCCAAACAACTAGAGGAGTATCCGTGTTTGTAGGATGCCCATCACCATGACTTCCTAGTAATCAAAGGTTAATCATGTTAGAATCTTTTATTAGAAACATCAAATTTAAAAAAAATACAAGAAGAAAGGACTAAGGGGTAGCAAACTAGTTGATGTCTAGTAAGAAGTTACATGTTACAATGGCCAAGGGTTAGCCCAGTGGTAGACACACTTTAGTACCTTGCGTCGAAGAAGATTTCAAGCTTAGGTGTCATATCAAAATATTTTCAGTCATACAGCCTACAGCAAGATAACATAAGTAATTAAGGTGAAGTATATAAAAGAGTTGACCAACCTTTGTCACTCATTCCATGATCAGCTGTGAAGATATAAGATGTAAGATTGTCCTTGTAGTAATTCTCAAGAAGATTATAGACACGTTCAGCGATATGATCAACAACCTTTACATTATTGAGATAAATGGAAGAAAAGGGACGATGTGCATGACCATTTGAATCACAACCAAGTAGATGCAGAAATACAACAAGATTATCTTGTTCAAGTAGCCTTCTCAACTTTGGGTCTTCATTGGACTTATTCAGAAGGTTTTGAAATTGATCAAAAGACCATTCGTCTAAAAAGGATGCATCTGCATTTACATCAATTGGAATAAACATTGAACAAGAGAGAAAATCACATAAGATGAAATACAAACATTAGTGAACATCATGATCTAAGGATTTCAAGAAAGCCAAGTATATAAGAGCACTGATACAATATAGTTTGAACTTTTGCAAGGTCTCAACATATATAGTATTTCCATATAAGTGTAATCTAACTGGACTAGAAATAAATTAGGTATGATTGGAAGCAAAGAAGCAATATCTAAAGTGACTAGCAGTAGTATTTAATTAAAAGTTCAAAAGAGAATGGTTTGATATGAACCCTTTTTTATTATTTTTTTTTTCACATTGAGCTTCCTTCTTTGCTTTTAGAATGATTTCATAATTTATAAGAGAAATTTGCCTTTCACAGAATTTTAAGCAGACCAGTAGCGAAGTCTTGAACTCGTGAGGATATGTAGCCCAAGTGCTATGTGGCAAAGCACCACAAAATATTGGAACAATATCAGGGCTACCGTAAGAAATTGTATGCCAACTCCGATTGAAAACCGAATCAAACTCGACAGGATTAGCTTTCCATCCTGCAACCAAAATGACAAAATTTGATAAAGGAGAAATTTTGTTTGTCAATTCCACCAAGGTGATTAAACAATGCTTAAAACGCTAACCTTTTGTAACAGCACTAGGGTCCTCATAAAAGCCAGCAATTATAGCAACATGTCCAGGCCTTGACTCAGTCGGAGGCCGAGCATGAGATACTCCCCATCGACCTTGATTCTTAATCACACTTCTTAGAAAGGGTGCTCTAAAATTCCTATCTGAATCCGGCTCAAAAAACTTATCAGCACGTAAACCGTCCGCTGCAATGATATAGTTTCGCCAAAACTTAGCAATTACACCAAACATTAAAAGATGAATTAACCAATTGAAGAAAACACAAAGTTCCAAACCTTAACCGTTCATGCATCACAATTATCATGAACAGAACACCATTGAACTTTTCATATTCCATATCAAAACTTAATTTTTTTTAGTACAAAGCGGAATAACTAACGTACCCCGAAATGTTCTTTACTTCTAATAAGCTAAATTGCCAGATTTGCAGCAAGCTCAACCAGTAATTTCTCATTATCAATCACCCAACACCAAAAAACACTTGTTTGTATAAAAAAATCAAAACTTAGAAACTTAAAAAGGAGAAAGAAGGGAAAGGGGTTACCAACAAGAAGAACAAGGCGTTTAGCGGGAGCAGAGAAGCGAGGGGAGACAAGATCCATGCCGTGAACAATGGGTGTCTTGAAGTATATGTCGAAGATGCTTAACATGTAAATAGCATGGAGGATGACACCAAGTATAACCAGCCAAGTTTCCCTTCGCTTCACCCATTTTCGTCTTCTGGGTATGTTCGATTTGCCTTGCTTTGAGTCTCTGTTACCCAAGATCCCACCTACATCCATCTTTTCCCTTAACTTTGGTTTGTAAAGCCAAAATTACTCTCTCAGCTCAGAAAAATGACTTAAAAGTCGGTAATTGCATTTTCTTTCTTTCATTTGATCTGAGGCTCCCACTGTTATATTGTATTTGTGATTTAATATCTTAACACCGTATAGCTTGATTTAATTATAGTATAATTAATTAACTTAATTATTTAAATTAATTAATGATGAAATTTAATTATGTGAAATTAAGGTTTTAGGATTAAACTCAAATTTAATGTTAATTATGTGAAATAATTATTGATAATTCTCTTGTCTAATATATAATTTGCTTATGACTAATTTCGTAATATTCCTGGTATTAAGGCATGAATTTTGTATCATTAAATATGTAAACTGAAGTTTTCTTGTTGTGGATAAATTAAATTATATATAAAAAATAAAATATGAATAAAACTTTAAATTATATAAAATATACTATCTTATTTTAATTTTTTAATCTAAATTATCATTATATTCGTAGGCAAAGAAATGGATCTTAGGCATAAGCCTCCATGGTGGGCTTCTTCCATCCAAGTTTAGTAGTTACTGGGATTCTTTAACTTCAATTTTGCATACACTTGATACGAGCAGAAAATTTCATTACCAAGAACAGAAGGGAACTCGATATTTATATATTCAAATATGATAAACCAAAACTATTTTTGACAAGTTCATAGGTTCTAGGATTCGGTGTCTCCCTTCTCGCAAAACATATTACACTAAGCTTGTAGCTATTGCATATAATGATATAAGAAAACATCCTCCACAGGTCTGGTATTTCAAGGACATTTGGGCTTGTTGCCGTGGGTTGTCATGTCGGTGTAACACTTGCCACACATTTCTCTGTTGCCATATGTACCTGGCGGAACACATTTGCATCTGTCACAGCATGTGATGCATGCTCTCAAGCACAGTTTAGTCCTTGAATGCAATTTACACCTCTCTCCACATAATGGGATGCAATCTGCCATCCAACAGGTGTTGGAACAAAACAAAATATCAAAGATAAAGCTCCCAGAGTTGTGGAAAAGCTGATGTTATATTTAACTGTAGTAAGTGGAAAAAAGATTAAAAGAAAATTACCCTTTCTTGTCCTAACTGGTGGCAATGGAGGACTTGGTGGCTTGTAAGGAGGTGTAGGCGTCGGTGCTGCTGGAGTTGTTGGTGGCTTGTATGGTGGTGTAGGGGGTTTAACTGGAGGCGCAGGAGTTGGGGCTTTGGTTGGGGGCTTATACGGGGGAGTTGGAGCTTTGGTTGGTGGTGCTGGTGCAGTAGTTGGGGGCTTATACGGGGGGGTTGGGGCTTTGGTTGGGGGTGCTGGTGATGGAGGTGGGGGCTTATATTGTGGAGTTGGGGGTGCTGGTGAGGAGATGGGGGCTTATATGGGGGAGTAGTAGCCTTGATTGGTGGTGCAGGAACTGGGGGTCTATATGGTGGTGCTAGAGTAGGAGGCTTCACCGGAGCAACAGCCTTAACCTGAAGAGTGATATGCAAGAATTTCAGTAAAGCAATAGCTACCAACTTCATTAACCTAATGTATCAAAAGCAAATTTAAGATTCCTATACAAAGAAGACAAGCAAAACAGAGAATAAGCAGTAAAACAAAGTTGACAAAATCACCTCAATCTTCTCTCCCACCTCATTGGAAGCAACCTAAAGGGAAGAAAGAAAGAAAGAAAAAAAGATGAGTGACAAGTAAAGATCATCTGGTGGTTTGAGTGAAGAGACGAGGACATACAGTTGTTGAGAGTAGCAGAAAAGCGGGCAATACAAACAGCAGCAGAGCATTGAAAGCCATTCGTGAGTGAATTCTCACACCACCCTTGAGTGCAGTGCAGTGGTTGGGTGGTTTAAATAGAGGTTTCATAAATGCTGCTTCCTAGCTTTACCGGATCACCGTCCAATGCCTTGATTAAAAGGCTTCGCCGCATTATATTTGTTTTATCACATTATACCCCTCTGACGTTTATATTCAATTTTTTAGGTTTAAAAGATATTTAGCCTTTAAATTCACATTAAACAGCTAATTTAATTCATCTTTTTAAAAAAAATAAGAGGTTTTTTGACTCATAAATACCATCAATTTAATATTTTTTTATCTCATAAGAGGTTTTATACTTTTCCCAAGAACTGTCGGCTAAAGTTGTGCCATATTGATACTCGAGGTCTGACCATTTAAGAAATCGGTTCATATGCCAGATCTAAATTTACTAATATGATTCGACTACAATATACGAGTAGGGTCAGTTTATGAGCTGAAAAGCTTAAAAGAGGTGAGTTATTGTACTGTCATGGATTATTATTGATAGAAGAAATAAAGGGGGGACTGTTTTTTACTATTTACTTTTTCTAATTTAGATGCTTTTTTTCTAAATTTAAATGAAAAGTCGTGATTGATGATTTTATGAAAGACATAAGAATGGTGAATTAGGAAAGACGATAAATAGTGAGAAGCTGATAGAGAACGTATCTCTTAGAGAGAGAGAAAAAGATTCATTCTTCGATCATACACAGTGATTCGTATGCTAATCATAATATTGGTGTGGGATTTAAAATCATGTCTATAGCTTGACAGAGCAAATTAACAAACCGAACGGTATGGTCATGTTCTTTGTTTATTTAATTTTAATCGAATAAATAAACGAATATGAACATAAACAAATAAAAATTTTATTGTTTATGTATGTTCGTTAAGGAATGTAGCTTGTTCGTGTTCGTTCATGTTATTTATTTAAATGATAAACGAACACAAATGAACGAACATAAACAAACGGATGTAAACAAATATAAATTAACACAATAAACGAACGTAAACGAACAACAAATGAACAAAACAAATATATTAAATTAATTGAATTTTAAAATAGTAGTGGATATCAAATTAAAATTTATTGAGCCTTAATATTTTAAATATGTCTAGAGAGATTAAGCTAAATATAAATGAAAGAACATACACGAACGAAAGTAAACGAACATAAACGAATAAACGTAAATGAATATAAATAAACGAACATATTATCGAATATTCACTAACATAAATGAATTAACGAGCCATCAATTCGTGTTTGTTCATTTAATTAAACGAACAAAAAATCTTGTTCTTGTTTGTTCGTTTAATAAACAAACACGAACTAATGTTTCTTAAACAAACAAACGTAAACAAACTTCCCGCTAAACGATTAATTGAACGCTCGGTTCATTTACATGCCTAAGGGTAAATAAATGTAGCTGCCATATAATAGATTTGATCCCGATATATCACGTAAGTATATCTAAAATCATATCAAAATATTATAATTAGTGTACTGATATAAAATTCCAAAAATTTCGATCAGTAGAGAACTTCTAAATACTTGCACATAATTTTGAAAGATGTGAAGTTTAAGAAGAATAATAACAAAAATATAATTTAATATAATTTGCGGGAAAAAAAACTTTACGAAGAATGAAAAATAATCATTATAGATATGGATCCATCTTTTTACATGAATGATAGCGTGTGTTCTGGGTGTTTTTAAAGCATAACCTATTTATTATTACATATGTCCTTCCTTAGTCTTAAACTCAAATTTGCGTATCTATACACTGTAATTTTTTCAGGGGTGTTCATTATTCGGGTAAAACCAAATTAATCGATTGAACTAAAATTTTGATCAATTAATCGGTCGGTTAATTTTGGGTTCAGTCGGTTAATGGTTAATAATTTTTTTCAAATTTCGGTTTCAGTTAATTCAGTTCCAAATCGATTAATTAGTCGAAATTATTAAATATTTAATATATATATATATATATTATTTAGTTTTATGATTGTTTAAACTTGGTTTTAACCGAATTAACCGACCGGATTAACAGAATAAACAAAAAATATTAAATATTAAATACATATTATTTATATATTTTTTTATAAATTTCGGTTCATTTGATTCTGTTAACGATTAAGAGAAAAATTTCGGTTAATGAAATTTAGGTAATTCAATTAACCGAATTACCCATTTTAACCTCCTCGTAATTTCTACCCCTTAGAAGAGACGATCATGTTGTTTTTAAACCTCCGAATTTCATAGTTATTGTTTTATTAGCCGATAAAGCTGGATTTAGGTCAAAATTAAGAAGATTCGTTTCATTAATCCAATCCTACACTAATTCTGGATTCGGATTAAGATTAGATTTTAAAAATTCTATAATTTAACTCTAAATCTTAACATGATTTTATGACTTGATCCTACTTGAAACAAAAGATGATTACTATTCATAGCCATTACTACGTTATGGTTATGATTACTATTTGGATCCATGCTTATTTTTTTCTGCAATGAGAGATGATATATACATTATCTGAAACAGTAAGGAATGGTTTATTAAGACCATGCTTTGGTTTGGCCCACTTAATAACAAACAATAAGACAAATGTGTACTGGAAACATCATTCCTACATGTCATGTGCAAGATTGACATCGTATCTGTTAGGCTGTTAGTTGAAGTATATAGATATTTGGAGCTGAAAAATCCTATTTTGAGTTCTAAGATTTTATAGTCAGTAAGTTTTAAGAGTACCAAAATTATGTTAGAATTTGAAGAACACTAAATTAATACAGCTAAATTGTTAAAAGTTTCAAAGTTTGGTAACCAACTTTGGAAAATGTTTTTTCAAAGTTTGGTAAATGTTTCTTTGAAAAATGTTTTTCAAAGTTTGGTAAAATTTTGGTAGATGTTTGTTGAAAATAGGAATGGGTAAATTCACTTTAGTCATTGCACTTTAGGGTATTTTCAAAGATTAGTCCCTAAGTTTCTACTATAAATACCCTTACCCATTTAGCTTCAAAATCATCCCAAAACATTTCTTTCTTCTTATACTAGAGAGCTTTCTTGTGAATAGTGAGTGTTTTGTAAACACCTGTAAATTTTCTCTCTTAGTAAAAGATCTGCAGCAGCCCGGAGACGTAAGCACAATTGGCTGAACTCTGTTATTAATTTTCGGGTATTATTTTTTCGCTTTTATTTCGCATTCTCACTAATCTGGTTATAGGGAAATTACTTGTACTCGGTTTATTTTCCTAACAACTGGTAATCAGAGCTTTTGGTTGTGAATTTTGTCAAATTTTCTGCGAGGTTACTATTCATTACTATTCACGTGAATAGTGAATTTCGTGAATAGTGAAATTCGGTCGGCGATACGAGTTTGTCGACGGTGGTGTTCTAATACACGGTGATTCGCAAGAATTGTCAGAAACGATCCAAACGAAGCCAGATTCGAGTGTGAGCGATGGCTGCAGACGAAGGGAAGGTGAAAATTGAAAAGTTCGATGGTGCGGACTTTGGTTTTTGGAAGATGCAGATTGAAGATTTTTTGTACCAGAAAAATCTATATCAACCTCTCTCAGGAAAGCAACCAGAGGGCATGAAGGATGAAGATTGGGCTCTTCTCGACAGACAAGCCCTCGGAGTTATCCGACTGACGTTATCTCGCAATGTTGCTTTTAACATAGCAAAGGAAAAGACCACGGCGGGTCTTATGGCGGCTCTCTCCAGTATGTACGAGAAGCCATCGGCCTCAAACAAAGTTCATTTGATGAGGCGATTATTCAATTTGCGGATGGCGGAAGGGGCATCGGTGGCACAACACCTAAATGAACTCAACACAATCACAACCCAGTTGAGTTCAGTGGAAATTGAGTTCGATGATGAAGTTCGAGCTTTAATTCTCTTATCATCTCTACCAGACAGTTGGAATGCTACTGTTACAGCAGTCAGCAGTTCGTCGGGAAACAGCAAATTAAAATTCGACGATGTTCGGGATCTGGTATTGAGTGAAGAAATTCGACGAAGAGAATCGGGTGAAGCATCAACCTCCTCAGCCTTACACACGAGTCTAGAGGGAGAACTTCAGAAAGAAAATCAAATCGTGGCAGATCAAATCTAGAAGGGGCAAATCAAGAACAGGAAATAAAGATTTTACCTGTTATAATTGCGGCAAAAAGGGTCACTTCAAAAGAGATTGCCGAGCACCGAAGAAAAATACCGGCGCACAGGAATCTGCCAACATGACGGAGGAGACATGTGATGCCATGATTTTAAGCGTCAACAGTCCGATTGAATCATGGATCTTGGATTCAGGGGCATCTTTCCACTCCACCCCATGCCGAGAAATCATGGAGAACTATGTCAGTGGTGATTTTGGGAAGGTTCATCTAGCTGATGATGAACCTTGAAGATCGTCGGAAAAGGAGACATCCGACTAAAGCTGCCAAACCAGACCACCTGGAAGCTGACAGGAGTGAGACATATTCCTGGCCTCAAAAGAAATCTGATTTCTGTTGGGCAGCTTGATGGAGAAGGATATAGTACAACTTTTTCAGGCTGTGAATGGAAGATTACCAAAGGAGCACTCGTCATTGCTCGTGGTAAGAAGACCGGTACTCTCTATGTAACCTCAAATTTAGAGAATATCATTCCAGTAGCAGATGCTGATGGAAAATCAAACCTATGGCACCAAAGGCTCGGCCATATGAGCGAGAAAGGAATGAAGATACTTCTGTCAAAAGGGAAGCTGCCGGATCTAAAGAATGTAGATGTCGGACTATGCGAGGATTGCATCTTTGGAAAACAAAAGAAAGTCAGTTTTACAAAGATTGGCAAGACTCCCAAGGCAGAAAGGTTAGAATTGGTTCATACTGATGTATGGGGACCATCCCCTGTTCCATCTCTTGCAGGCTCACTATATTATGTCACCTTCATCGATGATTCAACAAGGAAGGTGTGGGTTTATTTTCTGAAGAAGAAATCAGAAGTCTTTGATACCTTCAGAAAATGGAAGGCCATGGTGGAAAATGAGACTGGTTTGAAAGTCAAGCGGTTGAGGTCTGACAATGGAGGAGAGTACAGAGACAGTAGTTTCAGAGATTTCTGCGCAAACAATGGGATCAAGATGGAGACAACAGTTCCCATAACACCGCAGCAGAATGGCGTAGCAGAGCGCATAAACAGAACTCTGAATGAACGTGCCAGAAGCATGAGGATACATGCCGGATTGCCCAAATTTCTATGGGCTGAAGCTATCAACACTGCAGCTTACCTGATCAACCGTGGGCCCTCAGTTCCTTTGGATGGCGGAATACCAGAGGAAGCTTGGAGCAAGAAAGAAATAAACCTTTCACACTTAAGAGTGTTTGGTTGTATTTCTTATGTACACATAAACTCTGCTGAAAGAAGTAAACTTGATGCCAAGTCCAACAAATGCGTCTTTGTTGGTTACGGTGGTGATGAGTTCGGTTACCGGTTTTGAGACTACGAAAATCGAAAGATCATCAGAAGCAGAGACGTCATTTTCAATGAAAATGTGATGTACAAAGATAGGTCAACCGCAGAATCAAGTAATACCGAAGCTGAAACAAAGGAATTTGCTGAGTTCGAGGATATTTCTGGAAATGATGTTCAGATAAATCCTGAAGCAGTTCAAGAAGAACCACACACACTAGAACTGAGACGCTCCTCCAGAATTCCTAAACCAACCCAACGGTATTCGCCTTCTTTGCACTATTTGTTGCTGACTGACAATGGTGAACCAGAGTGCTATGATGAAGCAATGCAGGTGGAGGATTCAGTCAAGTGGGAGTCTTCCATGAAAGATAAGATAGACTCACTTATGTCAAATCAGACATGGGAATTAGCTGAATTACCACCAGGCAAGAAAGCGCTCAACAACAAGTGGATTTACAGGATCAAAGAAGAGCACGATGGGAGCAAACGCTACAAAGCAAGATTGGTTGTCAAAGGCTTTCAGCAAAAAGAAGGTATTGACTACAATGAAATTTTCTCTCCAGTCGTAAAATTGTCTACAATCAGACTGGTGTTGAAAATTGTAGCTGCAGAGAATTTACATCTTGAGCAGTTAGATGTAAAGACAACTTTCCTTCATGGTGATTTGGAGGAAGAAATCTATATGAGGCAGCCAGAAGGCTTCATAGAGGCAGACAAGAAAAACCTGGTATGCAGGTTGAAGAAGAGCTTGTATGGTTTAAAACAAGCTCCTAGACAGTGGTACAAGAAGTTCGATAGCTTCATGAGTAGCAGTGGTTTTATCAGATGTCAAGCAGATCATTGTTGCTACATCAAGAGGTTCGACAACAACTTCATTATTTTATTATTGTACGTTGATGACATGCTCGTTGCAGGCTCAGACATGCAAGAGATTATACACTTGAAGCAAAAATTGTCGAAGCAGTTTGCTATGAAGGATCTGGGCGCTGCAAAGCAGATTCTTGGGATGAGGATCAAGAGAGACACAAAGTCGGGGACTTTGATGTTATCACAGGCTGAGTACATCAACAAAGTACTCTCCAGGTTCAACATGCAAGATGCTAAACCAGTAAGTACACCTTTAGGTGTTCATTTCAGACTCTCCAAAGACCAATCACCAAAGGCGGAGGAAGAACGTGCACACATGGTGAAGGTGCCGTATGCCTCAGCAATTGGAAGTCTGATGTATGCCATGGTTTGTACCAGACCAGATATTGCTCATGCAGTAGGAGCTGTTAGCAGGTACATGAATAATCCGGGCAAGGTACACTGGGAAGCAGTCAAATGGATCCTCAGATATCTTCGGGGTACCACAAACAAAGCACTTTGTTTCAAAGGTGGAGATATGATACTGACAGGCTATGTAGATGCTGACTTAGCCGGAAATGTCGACATCAGAAGGAGCACTACAGGGTATGTCTATACTCTAGGAGGAACTGCAGTGAGTTGGGTTTCTCACTACAGAAGATAGTTGCTCTCTCCACAACTGAAGCAGAATATGTCGCTGTTACGGAAGCCAGCAAGGAGATGGTTTGGCTCCAAAGTTTCTTGGAAGAGTTAGGCAAGAAACAAGAAAACAATATCTTGTATTGCGACAGTCAAAGTGCTATCCATCTAGCAAAGAATCCGTCTTTTCATTCCAGGACAAAACACATACAATTGAGATATCATTTTATCCGATCTCTTCTGGAAGATGGGATTTTGAAACTTGAAAAGATTAGTGGAGCTCAAAATCCGGCAGACATGTTGACAAAGACGGTGACTACGGACAAACTGAAGTTGTGTTCAGCTTCAGTTGGCATGCTAGAATAACAAGACCAGACATGCTGCTGCATTGATCGAGGCGTGAAGACATATTAAAATCAGTCTTCAAGTGGGAGATTGTTAAAAGTTTCAAAGTTTGGCAACCAACTTTGGAAAATGTTTTTTCAAAGTTTGGTAAATGTTTCTTTGAAAAATATTTTTCAAAGTTTGGTAAAATTTTGGTAGATGTTTGTTGAAAATAGGAATGGGTAAATTCACTTTAGTCATTACACTTTAGGGTATTTTCAAAGATTAGTCCCTAAGTTTCTACTATAAATACCCTTACCCATTTAGCTTCAAAATCATCCCAAAACATTTCTTTCTTCCTATACTAGAGAGCTTTCTTGTGAGTAGTGAGTGTTTTGTAAACACCTGTAAATTTTCTCTCTTAGTAAAAGATCTGCAGCAGCCCGGAGACGTAAGCACAATTAGCTGAACTCTGTTATCAATTTTCGGGTATTATTTTTCCGCTTTTATTTCGCATTCTCATTAATCTGATTATAGGGAAATTACTTGTACTCGGTTTATTTTCCTAACATAAATTAATACAGCAACCTTAGCATTAATTAAAAGTAGAGATATTTGATATTTTCAGACATGTAGGACAGTGGTCTGGTGATGTCAGGCTCTTCTTTTCAGAAGGCGTCCAGCTAGAGATGGGTTAGTAGCTGCCAGCTTCGACTTTGCTGTTCTGCTGCACCTTCCTCGTTCCATCTGTAAGAATTAATACGAAGTTGGTGGTACGAGGCTGTGCATTTGGTGGGTTTGTTTTGTTTTATCATAATCTTAATTCAATCAAATATGTAAAAAGTCAAACCACCATTACGGCTCTCTAACCAAATCAGGTAATTAACAATTGCAATTTCACTGTACTTCTTGTTTGTTGTGTTGGAAAATGATCATAATTAAGAATGCAGTTTGGCATTTGGTGAGCCTTCTTTAAGATTTTGAATTGATTATAAAGCATTATATTTATGTTTCGTATCTAATTTTATTGATTAATTAATCTAAATAAATACTAGAAAGATAGCCAATCTTGCACATTATATGTAATAGGTTTTACGTCATTTTCATTATTCATATCAGACATAAATTCCATTACTATCAAACCGAATTTCATTCTCTTTGAACTCAACTCGATTACAAAAGCAAAGGCTTACATTACCGTTTTGAACAATTTTTGTCTATCAAGAATATCATCCATTCATGTTTAACTACCATTTTAGAATAGATGAATCAAAAGAAAGGTGCCGTGAACTTCAAGTGCAAGTTTTTCAAAATCTAAATTCGACATCTACACAACGTCTTCTTCATCATCAAAGCTCAAATTCAATGTTTGTAACTTGAATCCTGCACCCTGTATGAGCTCAACCAAATTGGATGCCACTCCGCTAGCTTGGACCGTCGTCTGTTTAGTTAACTGAGAAAGAATAAAAGGGTCGTTGTCTATGTTGTAAGTACTATGACAATTAGAACTAACGGAATGTAGAAAACTCGATGAACGAACGGCGGACCAAATTTAGGAGTCCTGCAAAGGCTCTCATAATAATGACAGGAAAAGCACACTGATTGTTCTGTTTAATTTTTGTTCGTTTGACTATGAGTTCGAGTATTATGACCTCATAGATCAAAAGTGGTCACGGGAAGTGATCTGGCTTAATGAGCCATGTATCAAAGTTAGGAGTCCTAGAGCAAAGGGTCTCGTAATAAAGACAGGAAAAACACACTGATCGTTTTGTTTAATTTTTACTTCGAACAACTACGAGTTTGAATTTCATGACCCCATTGATCAAAGCTGTTCCTGGGAAGTGATCTGAAAGCTTGAATACGAGACACATCAAGCAACAAAGAAAATAACACTCACCTCAACGGTACCAATACCCTCAAGGACTTGAACCTTCAAGTTGGAAACACCTTCAGGTCCCTACAACGAACAAATAATCATCCCATCAAATTCAATTATAGTTTATACTCAGAACCTGCCATTAATAATATCGACACAAACATAGTAATACAATTAAACAGCAATATGATTATAGATTTATCTTTTTACTTTTCGGTGAGAGATAATACAAGGCAATCGTGTAAAATATTTTCCTCTGCAAGAAGCCGTTTTCTAAGGGATCGAGTGAAACAACGGATGAAATAAGAAGTTAGATTCCTCCCCTTCAATCAATCTGAAGACAAATCTACCAAGCAGCCTATCAAAATGATCTTTTTTGTCTGCAAAACATAAATGTTGCTATAATTTGCTTGTAAGTTAAAAGGTTGATTATATACCTCTAATGCCTTAGTAACCTTTGGAATTTCAGCATCATTCAACATTCCATCTGCCTTGAAACAATCAAGATTGATAGTCAGTGACCTATGAATGAATATTTCCAAGGGAATAAATTTGCAGACAAGTATACAATTTCAAGCAAAACTAGTCAATGGAACCGACTTCTGCTTAATTTCAAGAATTCAAACTCTATGCAATAAGTAATAAAAGATGCACCCATAGTGGAGATCATTTAAGTACTACTATAAAACATGGACTGCATTTTTTTCAGAATTCAGTAACAAAGAACAAAAACCCATACCTGGAAGTACATTCTGAGAGTGTCAGAAGGGGAGACAGGAACAGAAACAGAGTCTTGTTGCTCGGCAACAGCTGTTTCTCCTTCTTCAGAAGACTTGAGTTTCCAAGTCCCATGAGGAGTTTTGGTATTTTTGGAGGAAAAAGATAAGTTGTTGGAGGGAAAGGAGCAAATTTTGGTCTGAAAATGGATGGAATTAGAATAGGAGGAGATATTTTCGGGAGATTTAAAACGAGTGTTGGAGATCAAACGAAAAGAAGTTGAAAATGCGGAAAGCGTTGCCATTTTTCCCACCCTTAGTTCTTCATTTGATGAGAGTGAAGTCGAACAGAAAGGATTGAGTTAATTGTATTATCCAAATTTGGAAGAAGATGGGGGCTTTTCTTATGGTTTTGGTGTTCTTTGCTGGGCTTTATCTCTTCTTTCCATACCCATTGACCATTGGAAAAAAAGGGCTTCACTGCTCTGTGCATGTCTGGACCAAACTTTCGGCATGAATTGGACAAGAGACATTCTTTCGGTTTTTTTACCCAATACCGGAAACCCGAAAATTATTTGGCCCAATAGGGTGCACCGGATTTTATTTTACAATTAATGGCAAATGCTACAGTATAAGGAGAGGTTGAATATATTATTTTATTGGTCTCAGTTTAGTGGGTCTCATGTGGGCCATTTATTTCAATGTATTTAATGACACTCGTCATGTCGAGGAGGTGGGTCCCTTAAAAAATTATTATTTTTAAATAATTTGTAAAATTAATAAAATAATAAAAATAAAACGCGAAAGAACTCGTCACCTCGAGGTGACTAGTCTCCCTTGAATTCAAAAAATCTAGCCGTTTATAGCAGTTGGGCAACAACAATGGTCAATTGCCAATGGTCACCATGAAACTTATCACCTCGAGGTGACGAGTTCAGCCTGATTTTTTTAAAAAATCTAGTCGTTTATAACTGTTGGGATTATGGCTATAAATAGGGTTTGGAATTTTTACTATTCATTATGTTACGAAAAAATAAGAAAAAAAAGCGTAGTTTCTGAAGAATTCTCGAAAAATGTCTTCCCAAGAAGAAATGTTACGCCTTGTCGTTCAAACTTCATATGGAAGAAGAATTGAACATTCGTCAATTAGGAATGACATTGAGAGATCCGCATCAATAGATCATTATATATCTACATCAATCGGGCCTATATCTAACCACATTTCTACGTGGTTTTAAGGTGAATCCGACTTTGTTTACGGCTCTGATTGAACCAAACTATTTGACTTTTGAGCCCTGTTGGGCCAAATAATTATTTGATTTGTGGTATCGGAAAAAACCCTTAATTCTTTCTTTATAAACCTTGAGACATTTTTATGCATTTGTATAAGTTCACATACGTTGTTGTTGTTGTTATTATTATTGTTGTTGTTGTTGTTTATTTCTTTTTTTCTTAACTCAAAATGATGATTTGTATAAGAATAAATCTCAATACAAATATAGTATATTCAAATTCTTAAATGAATTTTTTTGCTAATTATTTATATTATTATTTATATTTATTTTGAAATTTTATTTATAATCATCCATCTTATATATATAACAAGGGGAAAAGCGAGAAAAACAACCCATCCAATGCTACAATTACAAGGGTTTGGGACACTTGGCTAGAGAGTGCCCTCAAAAGAATCAACTTTCTGCCATCGAAGGAACCGATGAGGAAGAAGAAGAAGCTGAAACTCTTAAACTTTGATCCATTATCAGTACCATGGAAGTCAAGAAGGGTCGAAAGAAAAAAAGACTAATGTTTGTGGACATCTCCATAAAGGCACAGAAACTAAGTGTACTTGTGGAAACCTACGCCTCAGAACTATTCATGTCTGACCAAGTCGCAAGTAAGCTCGCCCTTCACGTAGATAGGGCTAGTAGCTTAATCAAAACCTTGAATGCCAAAGAAATTCCAATCACAGGAATCTCCAAATGAGTTGAACTCAACATCAGAAGCTGGACTAGTAAAGAAGTCATCAAAGTAATTCCCCTTGATGATTTCGATGTGGTACTCGGGTTGAGTTTTCTCGACAAAATCAATGCCTTCCCAGTCCCCTTTACCGACTATCTATGTATCTTGGACCCAAAGCATCAATGCATTGTCCCAATTAATCGAGGACCTGGAGTAGGGGCCAAGATCCTATCCGCAATACAGTTCTCCAAAGTCATACACAAGAAGGAGCCGACCTTCCTGGCAACACTAGTAAGCGAGACACAAATTGCAGTTCAAGATGTCCCACGGGAAGTAGGAGAACTATTTTTGGAAAAAAATATATATTTTTGAATTTATTACTTCAAAAATCAATATACTTTCATCAATAACAAAAAAATTATATGCTAATCCAATTCAAGACGTGTGTAGGTAGGAGAGGGGATATATTTTCAATGTTTTTCATCGTATTTGGAAGACATGAGTTTTACGCATGGGTACCTCAAGATAAATAAAGTCAATAGTAATAAAACTAAGCAGTCCCTTGTACGGATTTTGTTATCATAGTTGATAGTTCTAAATAAAATTACCAGGCATTATACATCTAAACACAGCTTTTCATTTTTTCCCCACTCAGATGTGAGCACGATGAATCCAGAGAATATTCGAATACGTTTTGGAAATTTCGATTTTTTTTTATATAGTTTAAATGTTTTTTATATTTTTTGATGATTTAATTTCGTGTTTAAAATTTTGTAATTTTACTCTCTAAATTTTTAATATAATTTCTTAAGTAGTAATACTAACTTAAAATCTTTGATGGGTATGAGTCTTTGACACAAATAATTTTCAATATAATTATTTGTTCTTAGATGGGTATTAGTTCTTTTTTAATATTTCTAAATTTTAATATATTATTTTCAATAATACTAACTTAAATTTTTAATATGATTTCTTAAGTAGTAATACTAACTTAAAATCTTAGATGGGTATTAGTTCTTTTTTTCTACTATGTTCTTTGTTTTTCTTTTTCTTGATTTTTTTAAATTTTTTAATAAGAATCTACGTCATTGTGACATTTTCTCTCCTCTTGTGGCACATATTTTATCTCCTCTTGTGACATAATTCTTATGACTTTCAATACGTTTTTCTCATAGCTTTGCGGTTGTTTTGGATCTCGCACAAAGATTCACACATATTTGTTTTTTGATTGATTTGTCATTGGCTATGTAGAGTCATACTCTCGTTTTGGTAAAAATGTTGTTTGCTAATATAATAAGAATTGTGTAACGAAATAACTGGTCAAATAATTTGGTTCGTTAACCATTATTTTATCACTTCGTAAAACATCTCATTTGACATAGACAAATAGTTTTTATAAGGGCACTTTATTCCGGTCGAGTTAAGTTTTTTGATTTTGTTTGTTCCGAAATGATTGTACTGATGTATTAAACGATTATTCTCCTTGATAATAATATCTTGTGGGTATTCTTTCCCCTTATAGGTCTAGAAGGGGTTTTTAGCGAGGCCCCTTTCTTTCGAGAAAAAAGGGAGTTTTTTTTTATAAAATTTATTAGATTCCTTTGATGTTGATCGTCATTAATAAGGGAAGATTTCATTTTTTTCGTATCTTTGAATTTAACATTTTTATTTTTGTATGAGTTTTTTTACTATTATTTCCCTCTATATTTTGATACATTATAATTATGATTCATTCCATTATTTTATTAATAAAATCTAATCGCTATTAATAAAAAAAACTACCACTTCATTCTAACAAATTAATAGTTAATGAATCATTTTATTAATATATGAACAATGAAATGAAAACTTTAATCATGTTTAGACTTAAAAATTTATTACAACTGGATAAAATGATAATTCTTCTAGTTTTTTTGAAAACAATGAAATAGAGGAAAATAATTTTTTTAATCCCTTATTACATATGTTATTCAACTTTCGTTTTCATTAAGATATTAGATACGATATATATTTTTAATAAATTGTACATCTAATTGTAGTAGGTTGATTCTATAAAAGATCATGTATTGTAATCTTTTGACAAATTTAATTTATTTATTATAATTTAATTTTTAAAAATTTATTAACGCCTTTTCATTTATTTGTGGAATTGAAGTGGTTTATTTTTTCTTAAAAAATATGATGATGCAACTTATATATTTTATCCATTTGGATAAATATTTTATATTTTAAAGAAAATTAAAAGAAACATTTCAATGTCAATTGAGGTTGTGATGCACACTGAACTCAATAGAATGGGACTGGAGCAGGGATTATCTCGTCCACAACTCTCCTATGTCTATATATGCTGGTTATATCCAATATTGCTTCAGAATATTTTATCATATTTTTTATTTAATATTTTTAATTATAATATCATTTTAGTATTACTTGATATTATATTTAAGAGTGAGAAAATTTTGATTAGACTAAAAAATTATAACTTAATTCGAAGTTAAAAATCAACTCGACTCGTAATTTAATAATTTTGACATAATAGATTGGTTTTCAAGTTCGAGTCGACTCACTCAACTCCACATGATATATGTACATCGCATATGAAAAAATACGAATTAATATATATGTATATCATATATGGTTATAGAAAACCATCTAAATTGAAATCAATTAGTACGGTAATATTATAAATATTTATAACTAAATTTAAATAAAAACTCGAACAATTAAAATAAGTTTTTTTTTCTAAAACAAAGTCTCATTTTAAATTGGTATGTGTATATAAATTATGAGGCGTATGACTAATATTTACAGTCACTTGTCTATAAATAAAGTATGACTTATAGGCGAAGTGGCAAAAAGCCAAAAACAAGTTTTTGAAGAAAGAAAACTATTGGCAGATTGCATAATAAAGAGCACTCGTGTCACATCAAACCAAAGATTTCAACACACAGACTTAATCTCTGAACAAAGGACTATTACATGAAAAAGAAAGAAATGAATAAAACCCAATTCAGCTTGTGAATATTGTTATTCATGGATGTACTTGAGAGCATGAATGCATGATCATCCCACTCAAAAAGAGAAGACCCAATATTGATGAAGCTGAATTATTATCATCATCGCTACCACCACCCATCAAACTCTGCATAATACTCTGACCAACTTGTTGAGCCGCACCATCTACAAACCCCTGGACCGCAACGCCCATCAAACCGTTCCCCGTTGCCGCTCCATTGTTTTGTCCATTGTTATAACATTGATTGTTCATCGGTGCAGCCACTCCATTTCTATATTGCAGATTATTGCTTTGAACTGACCCTGGAAACGAGTTCCATGCCTGAATCTCAACATTCCCTGCTTGTCTGGGCGTGCTCCTATATGCACTAGCACTACT